GAAAGCCACTGCAAACCGTCGTGTTATCGATTCCAAAGGAGTCCATTTGATTTGTCGAAGTACGTTCTAAAGGTCAGCCTGATGGGATAAAAGAAGCTTCAAGTTTAAGGAAAGAAATAAGGAGAAGCACCGACACCAAAAAGAAATCACCTTTCTTCTTTTCCTGCTTGTTTACTCATGTACTGTTAAAACCAATCCACTTCTAAGGTAACCTTTCTTCAATTTATGGTACTATTACTATAAATTAATGCAAAATCAAAGTACCCCATCACAGCACTGTTTATAAGATTAAAGCAGATAAGATGATAGATGAAAGAGACGGTAGATGAAAGTTAAGGAAGTTCAAAACAACTAGCAGAAATTCAATAACAAAATCCTTAAGTTACATGCACGTCATTACCAAACAATTCTATCTCTTACCGCCTTTGCAAAAATCCCCAAGTTATGTGATAAGGAGGCTGTGAAAACTTTTCTTCTAAACCCACATTTACTTTTGACTCGCTGCTTTGAATACTTTCACCAAACTGTGAAACGACTTTTCGCGACTCAACATAATTGTGAACGGTAGGTGCCTTAACGAAAGTCAAGGGGAAGTTGCAGACGGGGTTTAACAACAAAAAATACCAAACAAAACTAACCGGGCTGCTTCGCACTGCACTTCCAGGCGTGCTTAGCAAGGATTGGCTGGGGGCTGTAACCATATCACCCTCGTCTTCATTGTCTTCGACATCAAAAATTTTGTCGAGACATCGTTTCATAACTGACTGAAAGGAGCTGCAGATTAGCTTGAGAGATGACCCAGACGCTATGTTATAATTTACCTTGGCAATTGGCATCAGAACCTCATCAAGGGCTAATCCACCAGGGTTTGTGATTGATAAGTTTGGTGCTCCGGCAAAACGTATGTTTTCAAGTCCACCATCGGTAAGCTGTCCAAACGCCTCTTAAATTCTCTATTTTCAAAGATCCAATAGAGAAGCATTGATAGTTCAAACCATAAAAAATGATTTCAAAGTTCAACAGTAATAACCAGAACGAAAACAAATGGCAATTTCACTTCTACTAGCTGTTTGACAGAAATCTCCGAGAGAAACTAATTTATACCAACTTGGAGTAGTTTTTAATCCCAGAAGTGTATACGCAGTCTCAGAAGCATCCTTTGACAGTGGGAGATCAAGTAATCGCGTAAGAGAATAATCTGAAAATTATAAATTGATGACAAAGATTTCTTGATAAATAAGTATTACTATGATTTTTTCTGATCCATTACTTTCCCTTATAATGCATGATGAGAGTACGTTGAAAAGTAAGAAAATAAATTATGCGTAGCCGCCTTTGCTGCCAAATTTCTCTTTTTTATGATTCTACTTTACTAACGCTGAAGCGATGTTAAAGCTGCAGTAAAGCATCAAGAGAAG